CAACAGTAACTAAAAGCTAAAGCTAGCAAAACTGTAGACAAAAGCTAAAACTCACACAACAAAAGCTAAAACCTTAAATTTGTGGGACAGTAGCTAAAAGCTAAAGCTAGCAAAACCATGGACAAAAGTTAAAACTCACAGAACAGCAGCTAAAATCTTAAACAAGTGAAACAGTAACTAAAAGCTAAAGCTAGCAAAACTGTAGACAAAAGCTAAAACTCACACAACAAAAGCTAAAACCTTAAACTTGAGGGACAGTAGCTAAAAGCTAAAGCTAGCAAAACCATGGACAAAAGTTAAAACTCAGAACAGCAGCTAAAATCTTAAACTAGTGAAACAGTAGCTAAGAGCTAAAAGTAGCAAAACCATGGACAAAAGCTAAAACTCAGAACAGCAGCTAAAATCTTAAACTAGTGAAACAATAGCTAAGAGCTAAAGCTAGCAGAACCATAGACTAAAGCTAAAACTCACAGAACAGTAGCTAAAACCTTAGTGGAACAGTAGCTAAAAGCTATAGCTAGCAAAACCATAGACAAAAGCTAAAACTCACTCAACAAAAACTAAAACCTTAAAGTTGTGTGAAAGTAGCTAAAAGCTAAAGCTAGCAAAACCATGGACAAAAGTTAAAACTCACAGAACAGCAGCTTAAACCCTAAACTAGTGGGACGGTAGCTAAAAGCTAAATCTGGCAAAACCATAGACAAAAATGTAAAGGTAGCACAAGACTGAAATTTGTCAAAGAAGCCAAAACAAAGAGGTTAAATTTAAAGGAAGCCGAACAAGAGCCGAAGCAATCAGAACATAAGCAAAACAATAAAAAYCTAAAACTCACAGAACAGCAGGACAYTAGCTAAAAGCTAAAGCTAGCAAAACCATAGACAGAAGCTAAAACTCACAGAACAGCAGCTTAAACCTTAAACTAGTGGGGCAATAGCTAAAAGCTAAAGCTAGCAAAACCATGGACAAAACGTTAAAAGCAGCACAAAAATGAAATTTGTCAAAGAAGATGAAACAAAGAGGTTAAATTTAAAAGAAGCCGAACACGAGCAGAAGCATTTAGCAAAACAATGAAAGCTAAAACAAATAGAAAAGCAGCTACATTCTAAAACCATTGAAGTAGCTAAAAGCTAATAATAGCATTAAAGGCAAACAGAACAGCATTTTTTGAAGGTTTGATCATATTTTTATTGGAAATTTACTTTTGAATAATTTAAAAGTTACAAAACCAAACCACATCTGAACCTTCGTTTCTCCTCCTGCAGGTTCATGATAAAAAGAGCTCAGGGGAGGAACCGCTTCGGAATGAAGAACTTTAAGAAGAGATGGTTCCGCCTCACCAACCACGAGTTCACCTACCACAAAACTAAAGGTGAGCCTGGCGAGCGTCACGTTGATGTCGCACTGACAGCTTTTCAGATTCTTGTACGTTTTTCTCACCCGTCTCGTTTGAATGTGCTTCCCGTCGCCTCCAGGAGAGGGCGCTCTGTGCAGCATTCCCATAGAAAACATTTTGGCTGTGGAGCGGCTGGAGGAGGAGTCCTTCAAGATGAAAAACGTAAGGATTTCCCGCTCTTTTTTTTAGCAGTGCAGAGGGTTTTTTTTCTGCAGGTCATTAAAGGGATTAACGATAAGTTGTAACATTAGACTTTATTTGATAAACATATTTTAACTGTAAAATAAAGACTGTAAAAATACTTGAGGCTGTTTACTTTTTATAATTTTTAAAAATATATTTTAACACAGAGCTTTAGCGCTGACGCTATATTGCCTTATATGTATTAGCTCGGCGTTAGTGCAACAAACAAGCTAAACTGAGGTCCTCCATCCATATTTTCAGTTACAGCTGAGTCATTTTTGTGTTCCCCTCTCTGTCATGTGGATGGAGGACCTCAGTGACGAGAGGAGAATGTGTAGCGCTGAGCTAATACATATATATGGTGATAGCGTCGGGGCTAATGCTAAAGCTAACAGGCTGCAGGTCTTTAACTCGTTCCCSCTCCTCCAGATGTTCCAGGTCATCCAGCCGGAGCGAGCGCTCTACATCCAGGCCAACAACTGCGTGGAGGCGCGRGACTGGATCGACATCCTGACCAAAGTCAGCCAGTGCAACCGCAAGCGCCTGAGCACCTACCACCCCTCCGCCTACCTCAACGGACACTGGCTCTGCTGCAAGCTGACGGCCGACGCCGCGCCGGGGTGCACGCCCTGCACCGGGTAGGTACCACCCGAGAAACCGCCTCTTTTTCTTTTTGTTTACCTCCGTCTCACCGGACGCAATCCCMTTCCCAGGGGCCTCCCGGCAAACATCCAGCTAGACGTCGACGGAGACAGAGAGACGGAGAGGATCTACTCCCTCTTCAGCACCTACATGACCAAACTGACCAAGATGCAAGGTCCCATTTTTTCTGTCTTCCTTTATCAGCATTCACACTAGTGACTTTTTTTTTTCTTCAGTATCTTTCTTTGCCCCTTATTCTACAGTTTTTATGCTATTTCAACAACTCYTATATCAAAACATTCAGCTCATTCAGAACATTCCGGCTATGACTTTTGGTATTTCTGCTATTTATACTTTTTTAGCTGTTTCACTTTTTTAGCCACGTTTTGCCATCGGGAATGAATGGGGCTATTTTCAACATCCTTGAAATCCTTCAAAATGTTTCTAAATCTTACAGCACCTTACACAATTTGTTCTACTTATGCTCTCTTTAACTTCCTTGTGCTAATTTTAGCTACTTTTTTTTGCTAATTTTAGCTTTTTTCTGCTATTTCTGCTAAAATTCTACTTATTTCTGCTATTCCTCTGCTATTTTCTACTTCTTTTGTAATTCTTTATTCTACTTTGTGCTATTTATGCTATGCTAACAGATGTGTCTGCTATATTCAGCTATTGGCTACAAATTTAGCAAAATTTTTGCTGTTTTTAGCTAAAGTTAGCTAAATACACATTTTTTGTAGCTATCAGAACTTATTTCTGCTAAATTTAGCAAACTTGTGTTTCTTATGCTTCCTTATGCTAATAAAGAACTTTCAGTTACTTTTTAGCTGTTTAACCACAAATTTTAGCTGTTTTAGCTATTTTAAAAGAAATTATCACTTTTTACTACTCTTATGCTTTTTTCTCGGCTAATTTTACATTTTTTACAACCCTTTCACCATCTTGGTGCAAATTTCAACTTCCAGGTGCTACTTTTAGTTAGCTTTTATGCTATTTTTTAGCTGTTTTCTACTATTTCAGCTAAAATTCGGCTTATTTCTGCTATTCCTCTGCTATTTTCAACTTTTTGTAATTCTTCTACTTTTGTGCTTTTTATTTACAGTTGCTTTCTGCTATATTCAGCTATTTTAGCTTTTATGCTATTTCAGCTATATGTTTTGCTCTTTTTTATTGTTTTTCTTCTTATTATTATTATTTTATTTATTTATTTATTAATTTTTTTGTATGTTTTTTTTTCGCTTCGTTCATTTTTTCAAGTTTAACTTACAATAATACTTCTGCTATTAAACATTTTCAGGCCAATTTTAGCAGCTTTCAGCTAAAGTTTTCAGCAACAGGCATTCACACTCGCATTTTTGCAGGAAATGCAAATCTCTGGTTATTTTTGTCTTTTTTTATTCGTTGCTCACCCCGTTTTGTTTCACTCCGCAGAGGCGTGCGGCAGTAAGTCGGTGTACGACGGGCCCGAACAGGAGGAGTACTCCAGCTTCGTCATCGATGACCCGCAGGAAACGTACAAATCCCTGAAGCAGATCATCTCGGCCGTGCAGACGCTGGAGCAGCAGCACACCAAGTACAAACGGGACAAGTTCAAGAAGACAAAGATCGGCAGCCAGTAAGTGACTCTTTTTATTAAATCTGTGGTCCTCAGGGGAGAAAATATCCTGCAGGTTTCAGCTGTTTCCCTCCTCTTCCTCGGGTTTTCAAGTTCTGCAGAATAATCACTCAGAAATTCAGATGAAGCAGATAAACAGCTAAAACATGCAGGGAGTCGACCCTGCAGGACCAGGATTAGATGTGTTTATTCTGTGCAAAAAGAAAAAAATAAGTAGGTCCTCTGGACGGGTTCTTCTTTAACGAAACGTTTCGTCTCTCCTCCAAGAGACTTCTTCAGTCTGATGAGTTTCAGGTGAACTCAGCTTTAAGAGCACTGCSTCCACATGGTGGAAGCTGAGTTCACCTGAAACTCATCAGACTGAGGAAGTCTCTTGGAGGAGAGATGACACGTTTCGCTAAAGAAGAACCCGTCCAGAGGACCTAGTTTTTTTTCTTTTTGATTTTTTTTCTACCTGGATTACTGAGATTCATCAGGACATTTATTCTGTGCAGTTTCCAGTTTCAGCCAGCAGGTGGTGCTGATGTACACGTATTCAATTTAATCATGTGTTCGACTTTTAGCAAAGTATCTCACAAACCACTGTACAGATTTTAACAAAACTCTCAGAAACTCTTCTTTGGATGTTCGTCTGCAGCTGATTAAAGTTTGGAATTGGTGCAGTTTACGATGGCTGTCACTGAAATGACTATAAATGGATACTTTTTAGTTAAGTTTATTCATTTCTTTAAAAAAAACAACAGCATAAATAAAAAATATAAATAATAAATTAAATGAAAGGTAGAAGAAGAAGAAAAAATCTTACTATATCTGCCCCTTTTTCTCATTTTATTGATAATGAGCTAAAATTTGGCGTGGCAGCTGTCTGGACATCTGTTAGCAAAATATCTGATAAACCGCTTAACGAATTTGAACAAAACTTTTAGGAAATCAATTCTTTTGCTTTTGGAGCCGTCCCAATTAAAGATGGCCGCCACCACCAGTCGACCGTAAAAAACACAAAAATGGTTACAATTAAGTAAATTTTCCAGATTTTAAGGTAAACTTTGATGTGGTCATAGCTGAGATTGAACCCCAACATTTAGTCTGAGGGATACTCTGTTTGTGAAATCTTTACTTCAAAATTCAGCATTAACGGGTGGAGTTGACCCTGTTTGTCTGTTAGCAAAATATCTCATGGACGACTGGRTGGATTTTAATGAAACTCTCAGGYATTAATTAGGTTTGTGACTACAGCTGATCAACCTTTGGAGTCGAGCTTAATGAAGATGGTTACATGAATTGGAATCAGGAAACTAAAACATATTTTTTTCTGTTTGTTTTTTTCAGGGAGCATCCTATTGGAGACAAGAGTTTCCAGTGCTACATCCGTCAGCTGTCTGAGAGCTCCACCTACTCCATCTAGACCCGGACTGATACGCCCAGAACCAGCATTTTTTTTTTACTGCGAGAGAAACCCACCCTTACACAGCTCAGTTCCAAGTTTTACAGTTTTTTGTTCTCTAAGCAAGATAAAATCAAAGATGAAGCCAAATAACTTAAAAAAAGATGACAGTTTGGTTGAAACGGTTTGTCTGATTTAACTTTTGAGAAAACTCGCTGCCAAACGGAGAGAGCCGCGTCATGTGGACGGACTTCTTCTTTTGTTTTTTGTTTTTTGCACCGTCTCAGAGTTCATCGCTCCAGCTGCGGAGAAACAAACCAGGAAGCGTTCACCTGCCCGAGACGAGAGGATAAAGTTTTCACTGGACAGTTCTGACGGTGAACCAACACGCACTTTATTTGCCTCCAGAATCTGAGGAAGAACACGCCTCGCACACTTAAAAACAAAAAGCTTCTTTTTGTCTTTGACTTTGATTTTGAGTGAAATGTTTCCTGTCTGAACAGACCAAACTCCAGTTGGAACAAACGGACTGTAATTTATCTCACGAGTGTTTTTGTTTTGTTACCTCTTCGGTAAACCTGTCGGTGTCGACAAGAAGGGATCAAGCGAGTCCAAAAGCAGCTGAAAAATATCACTCCAAGTACAATTTTACTACTTTTTATTTCATATTATCAGCATTCTAAGCCTCGTTCTGTTGTGGTCGGACGTTAAGCTTCTGTTTTTATCTGTAGTTTGAAGTTATTATATTTAAAATGAGGCCAAGTTTATCCTTAGAGTTTGTTCTGATCCCTGATTATAAACAAGACTTCCAGAAACTTGTGCTTCCTTTAAAGCAGAGGCTCGGTTCCGACTCTGACCTCAGATTTAAGGTTGTATCTAAGTGGGCTGCAAATACTCTGCAAACGGTTTTGAATTCTCAACTTCCTCAGAAGAGTTAGGCTTGAGTTTGTGCAACAACGTTTCTCCTAATATCTTCGCAAAATCGTCGTTTGCGTCTCCAGCCCGTCTCAAACCAGAAACTTTTGAGGCAAATTCATATAAAAAAAACTGGTCCAAATGTTGTCTGTTTTAAAAGTGAACTTCAGAAGATTCAATCAGGAGCGAATTCCAAGATCGGTACAAAACAAGCTGAATATAAATAATGTGCGCAGCCGAAAATACAGTTGTGATAACTGCGTCGCGACTGGCTTCTCACGTCAGCCACTTCTACGTGATTTTAAGAGCTTCTCGTCGATTCAGCCTTGGCCAAATCTGTCTCCATTTCCAGTTCCTTCATGGTTTTTAGGTCCAAACTGGCACTTATTAACAGAGTCGCAACTAATTTTTAAAAATTTAAACTACCCGAAGATAAAACCACAACAGCCGAAGCCGCCTGCTGACGATCCGCCGCTTGAGTAGAACCGAACAGACATGAACTGATTAGCGTGAAGCTTGATGATGAAGAAGGGACTTCACTACTCTGTTCAAAAATTCACTATTCGTTCACAATTTTGAGTCGCCGARTCATCGCCCAGCAGTCACACGTCGGTGAGAAGTCACAACTCAAATAAACGAACAGATTCACATCATCTGCAAACGGTTTGACGTTACCGCACCAGGCGCCCTTGTTTCCGGACCAGGGAGCGAGCGCGGCTTTCTGCCGAGGACGTGATCGCAGCTAAGTGAGATACCACCTGCAGCCACTTCCTGTTGGGCTGCGACTCGCTCCGGTGCACGCTCCAGTTCACGTCTGGAAGAGACGGACGGAACCACATCATCTGCAAACAGTTTGACGTTACCTTCGAAACAGAACTTGGTCCCAAAAACCTAAATCAAAAAGCTCATCCCTTTCGGCTGTGTTCCTGCTCCGTTTCCAGGCATAGCAGCTAAACGCGGTACTGACTGAAAAAAAAAGGGATTCCCATAAAAAAAGATGGCGAGGAACTTTTTGTTTGGTGATTTCAGCTCGTATTTAAATTGTTTTATTACTTCTGATCTCCACCAGGTGCTGCTTAGACTCGGTTTGTTTCACTCGTTAAGCAGCTAAAGCTAAGCTGCTCCTTCGGCTTTTCACACAGCTAAAACAAAAAGTAATAATAATGTGTCCAAGCAGCTCATTTTTCAAGGATTTCTCCTAGAAGTTACTCTTTTTTCTAACATCTTTTTAATTGTATTGTGAACTGATGTGTGATTATGTTGCCGTCTTTTTGCTCTGTGAATTTTTATCTTCGTTTTAAAGAAGACGCCTCTTTTCCTCTCGTGTTTTAAAAAACATATTTATTTGCTGTGAATCCAACCAGACCGCAGCTCAGAAGCTGCTGAAGGTACAAGATTTATGTCCGGTTGTTGCTTTTCCTAAAAACAAAAACAAAAAATGGGCACATGTAACATTATCACCCCCCCCCCC